TAAAAACAGAGCATTTGGTATTTTAATTTCAGCTGGTCAAGTTCAACAGCAACAGGGAGCCCAGCATTTACCTGGCACTGAGCTCACAGTAAGAGAGTCAGCTGCATGGGGCAAATGATAAGATGGAAAAAATTAACAGGCAAGGTCTTTACCTTTTCTTAAATACATCTGGGGACTTCCCTTTCCTGCCAGAATCTTCTACTGGCTCTGCCTGCAGCTCCCTTCCAGGGTCAGCCCCTGCCTGCACTTACCTAGCGAGGTTAAGGGACATGCTGCATGGGACCTCAAATAGCATTAAGCCTGTCTTTCCAGTCTACAAAATGACAACGATGGCTCCAAAACGAAAGGGCAGGAATTAAACTGTACAACTCCCTGCTTGCATTCCCATCTTCTATAAAATAAGGCAAAAGGCACTAACAGAAACGCACGCTATAGGTCATTAAGGAAACCTACTCACAGGCTTTCAACAAGCTTTGTTCAGGCATTTTTCTGCACTACCTACATCACTTATTTCTACCCAAAATGTACCTTACAACAAAAAAACCCCCACACATGATAGTTAATGCGGCTCGCAAGTCAAAAGCGGAAAACAAGATTTTACTGCCTCGATCTGCAGTGGAAAACAAACAAATAAACAAAAAACAACCAGCAAAAATGCGAATAAATAAAAAGGAGGAAAAAAAAAAAAAAAAAAAAAACAACCCTCAAAGCATATCACGAGAACGGGATCAGACAAGAAAGCGAGGCCACCCCTTCAGGACCAGGGGAGAATTAACCTGCATTTCTGTATCCCATTTACAAGCTTACGACTCTGCCACCCATTTTGATTCTGAGTAAAGAAAAAAAATATTTAAAAATAGGTGATCTCAATAGAACAGAGAAAATACCACTCCCCACAGCCACGGATAAACCCCCATCGGTGCCTCTGCCTCGCAGGGCAGGTGATCCCGCTGCAGGTGCCCACCTCAGGCATCTCTTCTCCCGCGGCCGCCCAGGCCATGCCCCAGGTAGGTGCCCCTTCCACTCCACCCAGTACGGGCTGAAGGCGATGCCGAGCCAGAAAACGCCGGCATGGCGAACATGGAAGGGTTTAAAATATAAATATAGAAGAAGAGGGAGAAGAGGAGAGGTACGGACGGCGCAGGAGCCGCCGAGCCAAGGTGAACCGCGGCCGGGCAACATGGTGGAGGCTGCCAGGGTGCTCCGACCCACCTCCCCGTGAGGAGGAAGGGGCGAGCCCGGGTGTCTGGGGATGAAAGGCGGCTTCGTCAGGCGGCGGCGAGGGGCCGGGATGGAGGTGACAGCGGGCGGGAGGCGAGAGCAACGACCGCGGCGAGCAGAGGGGAGAGAGCCGCGGGGGAGGCGCCGGCGCAGCTTCTCCCTCAGGGCGGGCGAGCGGCGGCGTCTTGCCCACGGGAGGAGGAGGAAGACGGGCTCACCTGCCATAGCGGGCTGAGGGCGGCAATGGCGCCGGTGCCTGCTGCTCCGCTCCGCTCGGTCGGCAGCGGCGACTGCGGCGGGGCCGGGGCCGCCCCGGCAGGCAGAGCACGGGGCGGGCCGGGCGCCGCTCCGCCCCCGACAAGATGGCGCCCGCCCTTCTCCCCTCAGGGCCCGGCCGCCATGGCGGCCCCGGGGGCGAGGAGGGCGCCAGGACCCGCGGCGGGGTTCGGCCCCTCAGGGCGCTTCGTCTCCGGGGGGTGGGGGGGGTCCCTTCTAATCAGCCCCCAGGAAAATGGCACTCGCCTGGTGACACCACAAGTGGCCCTCAGCCCTAGCCCCTTTTGGAGGTTTGTGTGGGTTGTTTTGATATTTATTTTTTTTTTTAGGAAAAATTCAGTTTTTATAATAGGAGGTTGAGCTTAAGGGCCAAAAAAGGAGGAAAGTTAATGAAGTTGAGCCCTCCAGTATATGACACATCTGTCACACACACATGCCTCTTCCTGAAACCTTACTTCCCTGAGATTTAGAGTTTTCTAGCTGGTGGGGATGGGGCAAATGTGGCATGATCCTCCACCCGCGCGTGGAGTTGGGGTGTTTACAGGCATCCGACACTTAATACCCCACACCAAAGGCGGACACCACCTTGCTCACATCCCTCTCAGCAAAACTTGGAATTCTTCATGGGTTTTGATAGCATTAACTCTGATTTGGCTCCTGCCCTTTCCAGTACGTGCAGCTCTCAGACATGCCCAGAGTCAGCTCGTGCAACCTTTCACCGGTGCTTTTCTGGGAAGCCAGGGCCGAGCCCCCGCCACCACCTCCACTAATTTCTACCTTTTCTCCCCACAACAAAACCATGCTACAAACATCAGCCTGCTAATTTACAGTAGGTGTCCTTGAGATAATATTGACTGATGCTGAGCTTTCTCCCCCACCAGCCCTCTTCATTATTTGATTAAGGTGCCTCAGAGCTGTAAATCGATAGGAAAGCCTGTGCTCCCCAGACCAGTGACGCTAATTGTAATCCATTGCATCATTTTACCCAGACCTGCAATTCTTTGTTGATTTTTCAGGTCTTTGCCTTAATAGTTGCTGTTTGCACAGAGTTCAGCTACTGGGAATGTTTACTGAGTATTTGTTCACTGGCTGTCTGAGCCCTTTCATCCCACTGCCCCTATAAAAGTGGCTTCATCAGATCCCCTTAGAACCCAGAATCTTATTTTAAGACCATAGACCCTACAAGGCCTCTGAAGCATTTGTGCTTCTTATCCTCGTGCATAATTTTTTCTACATTCACTGCAATACTCTCCTTGTTAAGCTTCTAAAGGTTTTCAAATGGAGACCATATGGAGAACTATATAGGACACAGATAAGTCACAACGCACCTCTTCTGCTGATGTAGATTATGAGTATTGATCCCTTAGCATCATTCAATACCTGGCCTTATACCAAACATATACATAGAGTTAGTACAGCTTTTAAATGTTAATGGCCTTTGTTTGTTAGGGTAGAGAAGCATGGAGCTGTGAAGTAAGGGACATTTTAGTAATGCAAGATTGATTGAGACTGCAGCAGATTCACTGTTGACAGGAGTTTGTACAGGAAGATGGATCATATGTATTCAGTGATGCAGTCTCCCTACAAGGACTTCCTGTGTTCAGAAATCATTGGCAGACACAGCTTTTTTTTTTTTTTTTTAAAGTGTTATAATTTTCTAACCTGCCCTCCCCCAGTAGAAGATGGCAGAGTAAAATACAGCTAACACAGCAAGAGATCTGCAAATGAGAAGTTCAGACACCTGCATCAGCCAGATTGAAATTTAACAGATAAAGAGACCTTGGGGTCATGATAATCCCAAAGACAATGAGGGGAAAAATGATAAAAGGTGGATTTGGAACTCCAATAATTGAATTTGACATAGCTAGAGCCCCTGGAACCATGGACTCAAACCCTGAAAAGCATTTTTCAGGCCTTTGTTCCTCTTAAATAGATAAATTACCTTCCAGGTGGCCTTCTGTGCTGTAAAGTTTCAGAAAATACCCTGGCATTTCACTCATTTAGGGAGCCAGAGCCCATTTTATGCTGTCACACCGCCCTATTATAGAAGTAAAAATAACTTTACTGGGATTATTGGCATATATAATTTCTGTTATTAAAATGTAGTGAAGAAGCATGAGGTATTTGTAAAAACAATCACTTTCTGCTTGAATGATTCACAGGACCATAAAAAAGTTGGAAGAATCAGAGACAGGATGTACATGCATATGCATGTCCTTCATAACAATGCTATCAAGAGAAATTAGCAGTCATTAATCATTTAGTGTGCAGACCTTTGAGATTCCAAAGGACACACATTGCCTTTGTTTTCTTTTCTATGCTACATCTAATCTATGATACTATCTGAGCTCCTCAAAGCTCAATCAGGGATAAGTGTTGCTGCATCTAGACAATTAGTCACAATAGAAGGCTTATGCCAGTCTTCCCAATTCAGCCAGGGTGAAATGCCTGTCCATCAAAAATATGTAGCCTGAATTCCTCCTGTAATTACCCTAACTGGCCTAAAATTCCTGTAACATTGACTTTCTTTAGCTAAAACTACAGTCCTGGAGTCCCAATTCCTCCCTCTGTACTAATCAGTCATTGTGCTTACTTTCATAATGAAGGATAAATATTATCGTATTAATGTAATCACAGTAGTAACGATTAGAGTGTACATGAGCAAATAGTGCTTTGTGATATTTGCCAGCTTGAATCATTGCAACTTCTCCACAACAGCATGCAAGTATGGACTTGAGTTTGTGGTGAGGTTGTGTCCATGTGGAGCCAAAAGTCTCCCCAAGGAGATCATGTTGTAGGACTGTCAAAGCCTGTAGTTTAGGCTGTGTCCCCTGCAGCCAGAGAACACAACACTACTGCAATAATCTAAGGTAACCTTTAATGAGTATGTTCCCCAAGCATGCTAGCTTTATTCTGTTTGTTTATTCATGGCTCTGTACAAATAAAATGGTAAGGACAGGACTAGAGAAGGTCAGGGTTTTCTTGAGAAGCAGCATGGACATTACTGGTATAAATTTAAACACTGAAACGTTTTTGGCTGTCATGTCTTCTGTTTACTCAAAATTTCCATTTTAAACCAAAGTGTTGCCTCAAGTGGGCATGAATTATTGATCTGAGTACAGGATGTCCAAAAGACAAAAATCAAAACTTCACATCCAGATATATCCAGGGATGACTGTTTTGGGTCTGGGATCCATAGCTCATTTCCAATTCCCTATCTTATTTTCTTAGTGTGTTTTGGATTCTGCACCCCCTCTTTTTTTTTTTTTTTACAACATAAACCAAGGAAATAAAAAAATAGTCTGCCTCGCATCAGATTAACAATATTTTATGTGAAACCCACAAATGAAGTCTGGGAGTTAAAAACAACCCAACACACGTGTATGGACAACAAGAATATCTTTTACTGGATTACACAACATAAAAATGAAATCCCTGGTATTTCAACAACTGCTAGGAGGTGAAAGAAAACTCCCCAAGAAAAGGCAAAAAAGTTAACTCACCAGCAATGATGTTTTTGCTTCTTCCTCTGGAATATGGAGGAATAACTGTAAGGGGAAGAGAACACTGAACTGGGCAGACCCTGGGTTTCTATTCTATGAGGTAAATAAAATGAGAGCAAATAACCCTTAAAAAATGCTGTCTACCACCACCTAGTGGAAAACACCACTTTAGGTTCCTTGACCTACATAAATTTATAGTTTAATCTTGGAGATAAGTCATGATTTGATTGCTGATTCCCCCAAACCCACCCCCAATGTTATATGGAAATAGAGTTAGCAAAAAAATTATTTCTAAGAACTATTTATAAAACTGAACGACATACCTCCTGGTCTGTCATCTGACCTAAATCCTCTGTTTCATCATCTGCAAAATGGAAGTAGGAAGACCCAGGAAGATTTTTATTAAGTTTAATTAGTGCAAAGCGCTCTTAATAGCATGTAGGGCTTTTGGTCCAAGGATATCGGACTACTTTGATCCAAGTACTCAAATTACTGAGGCTTCAGTCAGCGATCCAAGAGGCAGATGTACTGCTGTGCTTGCTATAAGGAAAGATAAATAGCAGGGGTTGCAAAGTTACAGTTGCCTGAATTCACATAATAAATCAATAGGGGAGCAGGAGAAAAAAATCTGCATAGTTGCAGAACTGTTGGATTCCTGCTGTTCGTATCAAGATGGTTTTGCTTCTGGTAGCTTTTGGAGAGAGAAGACCTTCCTTCACCTTTGTATATGCAAAATATTTTGTAAATGGAGACCAGGTTCTGGCAGCCAGCACAGTACAAGCAACTCAGAACATGTTCCTATTCTCCTCAGTATAAGGTTGCTCAAACCACACTGGCCACATGGTATTTATCCAAACATTATCAGTGAATATAGAGAAAGAAGAGCAATAAAGAACCCTTACAGTAACACTAACTCAACTGGACAGCTCGTGCTTTGGATGAGAAGCTAATTTTCTTGATGCTGTTACGTCTGGTACCTCAGGGGCTGTGCCAAATAGATGAGATTTAACTTACTGAGTCAGGAGGAAGGCCTGTATTGGCAGGGGAAGGAGGAGATGGGCTTAGTCACCTCTCAGAGTTCATTCCCAGGCCTCTTCAAAGCACAGCTCCTGAAACTAGCCAAGGGAGAGTCCTACATCTTGGGAAAAGTGGGAAGCAGGAGGGAGCCAGGAAAATGGCATGCATTTATCCTCCTTGTTCTCCTTCTGCCAGGTTCTAGTTGCCAATACTGCTGAATTGCTGGAACCACATCTCTTGACTCTCAGATGTTGTGGCAGCAGAAAAGGCACTGCAAGAGGCTGTGCCTGACAGCTCTTGACATTTTTACTTTGCCAGCACACATTCACACTGGCATTTTGCTTGCAGCTACCCACTGGATGAAGCCTGTGTTATTTGGAGAGATGGTCTCCAAGCAGGAGACAAGCTGGCTTTTGCCACCTTGAATCAAGTTCACGAGTGGCTGTTGTTCAAAGCTATTGAAATGAATGGCCACTTCTGTTGACAGATATGTATAGGCAGGACCAGAGCAACTTATTTTCACTTAATTCACTTCCAAAAGGGTATGAACATGGTGCACAAAATTTTAACGTTCATTAGAGGAATTTTATAGCACAGAATAAACCAGGTTTTCTTAAGCCACCTCCACTGGAGTTCAAGTGGAAGTAATTTCCTTTGCAAAGAACAAGCAGCAACACCCTCATGATTGTTTACTCATATCTCAGCAGAGAAGTGAAAGCAGAGAGAGAATCTCTATTTTAACCTTTCATCACTTGAACCCACTAGCAAGCCATTCTGAAAGAACATCCAAATGTGTTCAGAGAGGAAGGATGGTCTTGGACACTGCCATTACTTTAACCCGCTATCTCCCCTTAACTCATTTAATTCTTCATGTGACCACGTAGTAACAAAACCACAGTGATGTCAGGAATGATAGAAAAAATGGTTGCTGCAGAATCAACCTCCTCTAGCAAGCGGCAAAAGACAAAATAAATGAGCATGGTGCTGAGGCATAAGTTAAAGACTGAAATAGGCAGCACCACGAGAAGCCCTCTACAAAGCTGCTTCTGAAATGGAACTGCCTGAATCATGCTGGGCAGATGCCGGGAATCATCATTCACACACAGTTAGAAAAAGAACTCCCCGAGGCAGGAGGGAGAACTGGGCCCAAACTGAAGCTCAACAGGCAACTCGAGAGCTGGAAACTGTCTGCGGCAATACATTTCAGTTCCTTCTTTCCCTGACAGCTGAACTAACACTTGTCACAGCAGTGCAAACCAGGCAATTATAGCAAGCATGGATGCCACAGGGCTGGCCAGGCTCACTATTTATAGCTCCCTCCCAACAGAGCTTTCCCACTGTGCCACTGCACACAGGTTAAGGTACAGTCCATGCCTTGAAGGGCTCACAGTCTAAATGAAAATAGAAATAGGAAGGACTAGCAACCCCCTTTGTGATGAGAGCCAAGGCTCAGAGATGAAAGGATAAAAAGGAAATCCACAGCAGAGCCTGGAACAATGAACTCCAACTTCTCCCCTGCAAACTGCCCTTTATTTTGTTAACTCCTTCCCTGCCTGAAGTGCTACCTCTCCACTACTCTTAATTAGTGCCAGCGTGATACAGTGTCACTGATGTGTTCTTGCAAGCTTTGGCTTGTCTTGCCACTGTTAAATTATTTTCCCTACCCTACAGCAAAGGTGGGAGAAGGGATGTGTGCCTGCCCTTAACTCCCTCCTGAGACCTGAGCCCATGCTCCTTTGACAGGGTGGGAAACATCGAACCGGGACAGCACCCTGGTGTGCTGACCCTGCTAAAGGGATGACAAACACCCAGGAGTGGAGCAGGCTGCCAGCGTTGAGTGTTCAGTGTCTTGGCTGACTGCAGATGCAAGTCAAAGTCAGTCGTCTTTGTTTCATGGGGAGAATTAAAACATGAGCTGGTTGTAAGTTGAACTTTGAAGTGTCATCTTAATCTGAAATGCAGTCACCCAAAGAGAAACCTTTAAAAATATGTTTTTTGTATTTGAAGTTGGAGACAATCCACAGGCCTATTTTTAGCCATACATTTGAACTGGCCTTGTCACAATCCTGCCTCTGTTCTCGTGCAATAAGAGGCAGAGAGGATTCACTTGACCTGCAGTATCAAATACAGAGAAAATAAGGCATTTGTTTGGAAAAGAACCACCAAAAATAGCAGTGAAGGAGTCATGCTGTGACATGAACTGTTAGTGTTGAGAGACAAGAAAAATTAGTATTACAGGAGCTGACAGACTTTCTAATGACACTAATGAAAACAACTGCTAGAAAATGATATGGTGATACTAATTAGTATTTGTAGAACTGAGATCTTTCCCTTTTACACTAAATATACTACACGCGTAAGAGTAAGAAATAATGCTTGCTGAGGTGAGTTCTCAGCTTTCTTCAAGGACTTTTTTTTTCTAGATAAACTTGACATTTCCTTTGCTAAACACGGCTTTTAGCTCAGAAACCGATGCTCTTGCATGAGTGAACCCTCCACTGGCAGCTTGGTTTTGGTTGATTGGTTTGACCACTTGTGTTAAACATGATGCAACATGGTATGACAAATGCAAGTGAACATCAGGATGAAGCGCAATGGAAATGCTGCATCCCATCTGACAGGTCAGCGGGAGGGAGAGGAATTATTTTCCCTGGTAACAGCACATGGGAAAGCACAGAGGCAGGGGGTAGGATGCATTTGCAAACATCTCATGTTCCCTAAACTTTTTACAGCCCTTGATTAGGCTTGTAATATCCTAAAGTAGACAGTTATTACTATATTTTCTGTTTTTCCCCTCCTTCAAGAAACTGGGGAAAGAACCCAGAAGACCTGACTGTAGGTGTATTAACTTCCCACTATCATGTCAGCAAGACCATATGCAGCACGCATGTCCCACTGACAAGGAAAGAAAGGTTAAAACCTTGCATGACAGGTTAACAGCATGATTTGCAGCAACAGCTTAAATAAATGGTTGCAGGCATGAAAGACTAGCAGGCAGCTAATCCTTTAAAGACTTAAGAGCAGCTAGTACTTCAGTCCAAGTAAATATTTCAAAACAAAATTAATTAGTGGTGACTGGTAGATTTTTTTTCTCTTTCGTTTTAACAGCCCAGGCTGAAATGATGATCCCTCCACGGAACTTGTGCTTTTAGTGCCAAAACTGCTATTTCACAGGAGCAGAGTCCTCTCAAAGAAGATTCATCGCAATTTTGTTCCGTACTGTAATTGCAGCAGAACTGGAAAAGCTCTGTGAGTCTCATAGGTCTGTGTTGCTGTCAGAAGCAAGCTCCAAGAGCAGCCTTTATGCTGCTCCAGAGATGGAAGACAGCATCATGGCTCAGTATCCAACAGAAGGACAGTGTAGAGGAAGGAAACATTCACTTCCTGATTCTTATCATAAGATCTGTCCATGCAGGCTACACAAAACACCTCCTAATACTTGTCTTCCAATTAAAAGAAGTTTCCTTCCTAGACACAGGTGACAGCACAGAAGGAAAGGTCTCAAGGTAACAAGTACGTCGCCAGCACAAAGCAAAGTCTGCCTGAGCCTGGAGAAGCAAAACAGTCAATGAAATAATTTGGAAAGAATCAAGTTGTAATCCAGAATTAAGCTTTTTTTCCCTTGACCCTTGGCTCCAACTCAGAATAAAGCCAATTCTCTGGGGAGGGAGGAATTTGTCATGGCCTGCTGAACCGTTTGGACTATTTTTAGCTAAATCCAGCATTCCTAAAAACCTCAAGATGCTTGTGTATTAAGGAAGGAGACAGGAAATGCTGTGAACATGCACACCCACATTTCACACGGGGAGCGCAGAACACGGTATGCCAGCTGCTTTGCAGCATAAAAACTGAGTTGAATGCAGAGCTCTAGGAAAAAGGCAAAGAACATTTCACCAGGTAGAGCAGGCAGAAAATTAAAGCAGGATTACTGGCTTCCCCGAGCTGGAGGAGGCAAATCAAAGGTCCCTGCTAGCCGCTGGGAGGCCAGAGAGATCCAAGGGGCAGGCAATTTGCACTTACCCACTAAACTGATGAGCTGCAGCTCCAGAGTACAGCAGTGAGAGTGCCAAGTGGAAAGGGAGGATCAGCCAAGGAGTCCCAGAGGTGCTTTGCCCGTAGAGATCTTCCTGGGAAGAGCAGGACAGACAGCCCAAGGGAAGGGCCAGGAGAAAGCTTAAGGAGTGATTTAGGGAGAGGCAGAAGATGTGAGGGGTGGTTGTATGAATGGGCTGATGCTTGGGACTTTTAAGGACTAGGCATGAAGGGGAGGAGTATGGAGAGAGCATGGAGAAACTCATTTAGACCACAGCATAAGTGGAACACAGCACAAATCTGATTAGAAGGGACAGAACTGTAGGGCCAAGTCATTTCTTCCTGCCCTGCAGGGTTTTGACGTCGTCTTTTATGATGAGCAAAATCTACATTGCTGTAAGAGTAGCAGTATAGCACTGAGCCTCTCAGTGGCAAATGTTGCTGCATTTGGCTAATTGCAGTTGACAGAAAGAAACCAAACCCCGACCGCAGGGGCTGGTCTAAGTGTTCCTCCACGATGGGTACCAGAAAAGCACTGGTAGATGCTGTTGCAGATTGTGCTGTTTGTTCAAACAAAGCATTTGTTTTATGGCTATATTTATAGCACAGGGGTCATAGCCAGCATGCTCCAAATGAGTCATCGCGTTCTGTCTCCCTCATCTCCATAGATGTTTCACACAACTTCTACTAAAATATTTTAGGATCAGTATATCTTAGATCAGTAACCTGCTGGCCAGCCCAGCTTCCTTACAACCACCCCATTCTGCAGACAGTCAAACTGTACAACAACCAGCCAGGCCTTGAGGATGAGCTTATCAAAAGAGGAAGAGGAAATACAAATTACTGCTGAGAAAAGACTAACAAGGAGTTCAAAACACAAATTTCCTCTTCTTATATCACCACGGGACCAGCAATGGGCTTTGCTCTTCTCCCCATCCCCTGAACCTCCAACAGCACAAGCACATGGAGAACCTCAGGAGAATAATCACTGATGCCAACAAACATATACAGCACATGGACAGTTGCTACCTGGAGTATGTACACCCTCTCTTCCAGGATCAGACTGCAGTGCCTGCAGCTGCTTCCCTGTGGAGGGAACGATGTCTCTTTACAAGGCTCTCTCTGTGGACAGATGCAAAATCAGAAGCCTGTAAGGATCACAACACTGCTGGCTCTGCAAACCTTAAAAACAAAGGATTGAGATACTGGGTTAGGGTGGTAAGCCCTTTGGGGCTGTGGCTTCCCTTGGACTCCAGGCTCACACCCAGTCCCCAGGCTGGCAAAACACCTCACCGCTCCATCACATCAAGCAACTGACAGAAGCACAATTTCTGCCTCTTCTTTCAAGGGTTTATCAGAACCATTTGAATAACGCTTTGGATAATTCTGGCTTTTCCTATTGCTCCTTTCCACTGCTGAGTATCTCCATCCCTCCTAATTTTGCCATGTGATACAGAGTGCCTTTCAGGCAGGCATCCTTCTAGAGGATCTAGAGGCATTAGCCATGACCTTGGAGTTGCAGCACTGGATGGGATGCTTGCTATAAACCCTTGCTGTCCCCAGCCTTACCAAGTGCCTGAGCTGGCAGAGACCATTGAGTTGCTTTTAGCAGCATCTCTGGGTGTGAAGCCTCTCCTGGAAGCCCACAGAAGTCCCTCAGCCAGCATGTGGGCACCAGGTTGACTCCTTAGCTTTACACTTGGATGTCACCACTTGGTACAAGCCTGCTGCCTGACTTCCCCTCTTGATGGAAACTGGCTGTGGGAAGTGTTGGAAAATCATTTACACCAGCATCTTTGAGCCAGGAGCCACTGGTAGCCATCTCAGCTGGTAGCATTTGCACAACCAGCAGTGGTAGGAGCCTCCTGGAAAGGCGAGGAACAGGCCCTGTTCTGCCTCAGGGAGCACAATACGCTACTAACAATGAGCCATTGGAAATGAGGAGCAGAGAAAGAGGCATCTTGGATCTAACATCAGTTTTCAGGGCTTGTAGTTAATGTCTGCAGCTACCCAACACTGCGTCCACTGCTGCCTTGTTTGTTCCCCCAGTTTATTCATGTAGATGTTTCAAACAGCTTATCTACATAAGGGAAATTTCCTCTGATGTGATGATGATGCTTGGGAACTTTCACTAGCTTTGTTCAGTCCAGACAGTAAGAAAACCAGATTTACTTAAAATGAGTCTTTGCTTTTATAAATACATGGGGGGGGGGGGTGGGGAATTTCTCTGGGACTGCTGGTAGCTCAGGCCGGAGGACTCTAGAATCACACTTCCAAATGTCTTTCCTGCAAGTAAATGGTATTAAATTAAGTACGTAATCATATAAATACACCATACAACAGCAATAGAAGAACATTACTGAGGATACATGAATGCAGGCACTCAAAGTAGAGAAAAGCCTAAAATCTGGGTGCCTGTTCTTTCTCCAGAGCTTCTGTGCATAATAATACCCCATCAAGCTATATAAATGCTGACTATTTTTTTTCTCTCAGACAGCTGCCTTGCCGAGCGCCCAGAATGGATGATGCTCAATAAAGGAAATAGCTATTCAGTATTATCCTCATTCATCAGTGTTCGGCTGGTGCCTTATTTATCATTCAAGTCCTGCTCTAGAACCAGAAACTTCTTCACAGGCATCTTCCTATTACCCTCACCACTGTAGTGAGTCGAGCAGTTCTCTCCAAACCCACACAGCCATGATTTTACAGAAGGGGAACTGAGGAGCAGAGTCATTAACTGTGGGGTTTGGCAGAAGCATCTGGCACTAGGGGTCAAAAGCAGGATACAGCTACAGAGTCAGGGGCTTCAGGGAAGGCAGCAAAGGAGCCAAGCCAGCTGCACAAATCATGCATGCAGGTCCACAGTGTGGCAGGAGTGGAAGGAAAATTAAAAAGATCCTATTGTAACGTATCAGCACAGGGGCACTGAAGCAACAGCCCCAGTTGAGAAGAAAGCTTTATCCTAATGTAATGTTTTAACAAATAAAAGGGCTGACAGAACCAATTACACTCAAACCTACACCAGAGCAGCACCACTGCTACAGCATGGACCAGGCTCAGAGAAACAAAACGCTTGCAGTAAAATTTTCCAGTCTCTTGAAATAAATGCAAACTCATGCTATTTTTCAAGAGAAAATTGAACCCTGGCTATTAGCTACACTGCAGCTAGACAATTAATAGACATTTGAACTTCTAGAGACTTACTCTGGAGGAAAACTATGCTTAGAATGCAATATGCCAACTCAAAGAATGAAGTCATCTGGATCTACATTTTTCCAGCTGTCAACATACCTTTTTTCTTTCCCAGAAGAGTCTTTTTTCCAAATTAGATATAAAACAATCCCTGTAGAGAGGAAAATTTCCCTGTGGCCATCCCTCATACAGACAGCCCTGCGAGCGTTAGGGCAGAGACTGTTCTTATTTATACACTGTGCTGCCTGAGGACTTTGCTTCTGTCAAATAAAAAAATAAGTTAATTAATTGCCTTTCCTCCAGAAATGTCAGCATGTTCTTCTCCTGTCCCCTGCATTTATTTATTATCCTTCTTAGTCAACCCAGGCTTCCCAGCCTTCTGCATCTTATCAGCCCCACTTGAAAGCACCTTCTCCCTCCCCCTTTTCTTTTTCCATCTAAACTTCGCTTCCGCTTCCTTTTCCCTTTTCCCAAAAACCCACCCAACCCACATTCTCATCCCCTAATAGAGGCTGATTCATGGTTTTGCGTCAGCAGCCACTCTCCTGGCTAGACCCAGCTTTAATTGACACGTTTCAGCTGCTGCCAAGCAGTACGTGACAACATCTGGGAAGCAGGGCTGCCATCAGGGCCAGCAGCAGCAGGAACGTGAGCCAGGCAAGGGCTGGCGTGACGCAGCAGTGCAGGGGAGAACACACATAGCTGTGGCCTTCGGAGATGGCAAGGGAGATCCGGAATTCAATCAGTTATTCCTCAGAGTGCAACGCTGGGGCACACGCAAACCAATTAAGTCAAACAAGGGAAGAGATGCAAGTTAAAAAAAAGATCTTGGCTCAGGCTTTAATCTAGGGTTTAATCTAGAACATTGGAGGAGAAAAAAAGGCAGCTTTAAGACTACTTCCAGAGCAAGACATTCATCTAGCACTGTTCTCACTATGTCCATGGACCTGCTCGGCACTAACAGCGATACCCGCCCCTCCTCCAAAAATTTTCAGTCCACGTGGGCACACCTGACAATTCTGGAATATCAGCACCAGCCTGCAAGCCATATTCCAACAGACACTTTTCCTGCTACATTGCACAAGGAGAGGAACTGGATATTTGGACCATGAAACAAAGTAATTCGATGCCTGGGGTCTCTGCACATTTAATAAGGAACTTCATGTGAGGTTCAAAAAGTGAATCCTGACCTTCTGGAGAAGCACGTTTTCCTGCTGCACCTGGGGCACTCTGGATTGCTGCACTACGGAGGGTAATCCCTGCCCCAAAGCCAGACAAGGGTCCTGGAGAGCAGATGGAGCTGTTCCAAAGCTGCTGGCTCAGCAAAGCCTAATGCTGATCGGAGCAACTACATTAGCAATTGGAAGCAGTAGGCAACAGCAGATTCAGCTAAAGCCTTAATCTGGTTGCCCAGAACAGTTTTTAATTGCACACAGACCTGTGGAAAGTGAAAAAGACAAGCTTATGATTTGTACACAGAATATAGTGAAGTTTATTCACATTAAATACATCTACTTGTATCACTATTTGTCACATACTTGTTCTCCAGGACACTGAGTTCATTCCCACTTCTGGAGACAGACAGTTTTTACATAAAACAAGCTACCAATCTGTTTTCCCTGAAGAACATATCACTGAAGCTAGCAAAACAATACAGATGGGATTTATTCAGTACAAATTATACAGAGATTTCCTTTTTACTGGTCTAGGGAGTTATGCACAGTGTATTATCTAGAAAAGGGCAAAATTAATCCAAATAGACATACAGACAGATGAAGTTCAAGAGTCTCCAATATCCACACTAGTCAAAACCAAGATTTTTCATTTAGACACTTGACTCCTGATCCAGATTCCAAATTCATCTTCCTGTGTCCATTCAGTTTGTTTGAAATAAGCAAAATCCAGCAGTCCTTTTAAAGGATAAGCAGATTTTGCCAAAAGTAACAGTGGCGTGGTAAAAAGCTTGCTTCTGAAGTATGGGTTCGCTGAGTAAATAAGTTTGGTCATTCTGACAGGGAGTTGTATAGTTAATGCACGTGTAAATTATTTCATGCAAGTGCAGTTTTCCCCCTGTTGTACACATCTGACTTGCGTTACTCTAGATGAGCACATGACAAGTAGATTGGAAGCATTTCTGATGGACAGAGCACAAAAGCAGAATTTAACTATGGTGTTTGTCTGCAAAGGTAAACCCAGTGATAACCACAGTCTCACTGAAAACTAAAATAAACTCTATAAAACAGTTAGAAAAAACAAATATCTTTGCTGCTGAAACTGGCTCATCTATTTTTGGAAAATTGCTAGAATTGCCTTGCCCAAGAATTTCTTACAAGCAACCAGCATTATGTAACCAAAAGTGGAAAAATACAGTAAATCACATGTTCTTCCCACCTAACGTTGCAATCCTTTTGGTCAATTCTGTCTTCAAGCCCCCCCCACCCCCAAATGAAAAACCTGCAACACCTCAAAACCAGGAACTGGCATCTTGTGATGGATATACTTCATCTACAATCTTACAGGCCCCCTCTGATATCCAGGGTAACTAACAGCTCTTACCGCCAACCTAATTATAATGCGATTAATTACACTGTTCAATCATCGAAATCTGGGATATCGTCATAGGAATAGCCCCGGTAGCCTTTGGAAGCGTAGTACGCGATGCGCAGGTGGTAGAAGCCTGGGAGAAACACAAGGATCCCAATGATGAGCACGGGGATAGCCCGGTCCGTTCCCTGCAGAGAAGAGATACACAAGTGCAGTAAGCAGAGATCTCTACAGGGGCAGGTCTTTCCTTTTTCTTAAGTCCTGCCTTAACTATTCATTTGTAAGGCCTGGCTAGCTGACAAAAAATGAAAATTCATCTTAAATCACTAATATCTCCGTTTTCTTCAGGCTGAGCTCTAAGTCTTCTCCCTGACATTTCCTCCTTGCTACAGGAAACCCTCAGCTGAACTTCTCCGTCAGATAGGAGGGGTGGCTCCTAACACTAATCACATAAAACTGCCAGCCACAAGCTGGGCACTGCGTGCCTGGCCAAGAGCGAGCTCTCCTACCCATGCCTGGACTGCTCCCGATACAGCCACAATGCTGCTGTTTCTACAGCGATAAGCAGCAGCTGCCAACCGTAAAACAATTCCATACAGCACAAGGTAAAAGGAGAAGTGTGCTAGAGAGGAGCACCAAGTCAACTACGAACAACAGATCCACGTTCAATGGATCGTAAAATACAGAGCGATGAGAAAAGTGGTGCTGTGTCCTATATAGTGGTGTGGTATCGTCTACAGGAGTTACCAGATGATCTTTACTAGAACAGTGATGATCCCAGCATGAAGTTTTTCCAGGACAGCAAGCTGACCTCTGCAGGGAGGTAGCATTAAAATGAAACTGTACCCCAGGGAGGACAGAGAAGCTCAGCCCTCCCTGGCACATCTCCAACTCAGCTTTGAACCTGCTCCAGACTCGCTAACTGAAGACAGAGGGCTCTGCCGCCAGACAAATAGGGCTGTCAAACACCAAGGCAGTGGAAAGGATTAGTTTCTTGCTTAGAGGCCTTTTGCTCTGAATTTCTACACTGAACATGACAGTACATGGCAGGCTTTGGGGAATGCGGAAGCAATGCAATACTCATAACAGAAATGTAATCAAACCACTTACGCCTTTGCTAATGTATCCTGCCAAGAGGAGGGCTCCTATGATAATGAGGAAGGTCCCAATCATGAAGAGCACAATAGCCAGTGCAATTGCCTTGTAGGGGATTTTTGGTGGGCTCTTCTTGAACTGGATGGAAAAAACCCAAGTATTAAACAGCTTAACTCAGTACGGTTCCCCTCCTACCGTGGCAGGGACACAAATCCCACAGCTAGCAGAGATGACTTGGGACAGTCTGGCAGCAGCTCTGGGGCCCGGCTCTGTAACAGCCCTGCTGCGAGGAATCCTGCCCACAGAGACCCTGCTGTCCCAGCCAGTGTTTATACCCCTTGCTTCTAGATCTCTCATTTCCCCCTCCCTCCAAATACATGCATCTGACCCTATTAAACGAGCAACCTTGTTTCCACTTAAGCTCTACAGGCTTCCTGGAGGAGAAGGGCTGAAGCAGTGGCTTGCAGCTAGCTTTGTACCTTTCTAAGCTGAGGCTGCTCTGCTGGAGAAGAACAAACCAGCAGCCTCCCATGTACATGTGCAGCTATTGCAGCCTTCCCTTGTAGTTTACAGTCAACGCAGCAGCAGAAAGAGGTTTCCTTCCCAACTTTTTACCTGCAGGTCAATATATCCATCATCAGTGCTGGAGAGCTTGGAATATTTCACTTTGCTACTGGGAATCCCAGCAGTCAGATTTGTACGTGACGGCATCATTACAAGGAAGCCTGGGTGTCAGCTAGAACCTGGAAAACAGAATAGCAAAAAGAATCAAAGTAAACTGGATGATAGAGTCTGAGACATAGACCAAGTTTAAGAGAAACAAAAGTGTCAAGCCTGTACTAAAAGGCATTATCGTTCTTTTTCATAATTAAATTTTTTTCAAATAAAGCCTTGCACTTAAACCTAAGCTACAAAAGCATGGATATAGCTGCAACAGGATTTGCCAGTATTTGAAATCAAAGTCAAACTAAGGTAGAACTTGGGTTTAAAACAAGATAGAAATTCCAGAATAATATACAATGTATAAACCTGATCTTATTTTGCAAGATCACACTTGCAGCAATGTCTGAGGTCCAGTTATTTCTAAACAGGGACACTAGCAAATAAACCCAAACCAGAACTAAACAAAGCAGCTTTTCAACCAGCTGGATATTTTGCAATAGATCCATTTTGCAAAAATACCCACTGGAAACCAGAATGCAATAGAGCCGTCATTCCCGGGGCAGCTCGAGTCATGACTCAGAGGCAGCACAACAGGGGGATGGAGTGGTTAGGGGATGAGGTAACCAAAAAAAACAGCAAGGAGCTAAAAAGCACAGGCCACTTGTCTGTCTAGCTGCGAGGGAGGCAGCATTCAGGGTAGAGCTTTGTTTAGTTACGCCAGAGCTGTAGCCCACGATTTCACCACACCACAGAGCCAACCCCTGCAGTTTTGCTGCCAGCAGTGACTGTCCTGGGGAGAGGGACAGAGTTGTGCTCCCTGGAGCCTGACTTCTCAGGAGCTGAAGCCACCTCCCTCACTGCAGAGCCATGTAAGAGGGCCTGACAGCTCACCTACAGCCTTGAACCTGCACTGCAGCCCAGGGCTACGATGCCCAGAAGTGAAGCAGACAAGAGGCTTCCCACACTTTTCAACTTCAATAGATTTTTTTTTCTTTTCTGAAAACATAATGAATAAATTAAACAAAAGTGCATATCCCGACTGTTCCAACAGGAAGGGACAAAGTTTTCTATAACACTATTTGGCATCTAAGGTAACAGCATCTCTTCAAAATATTTAGTCTCTACTTGAACTGAAATCCTTTGTTTCTCTTGCCAATTGCTGGCACATTCCTCTGCCATCAGATTTGTTCCTCCTGCAGTAAATTTGACTTTTATAAAAACCCCAACACCCTCTGATCTTAAACCCCTCAGGGGTACCTTGAAGATTTTTTTTCTTTTTTTTTCTGTAACAAAACCCAAGCACAGACAAAATACATTTCTAACCCCATCAACAACTGAAGTATCACACACGTACAGGGTGGTAACACATCCTCAGCTCCTTACACATCTGTTGTTCAGGTCACTACTCAAATACCCCAAGGCCTCCCACATGCCCAGGGTAGGTGTGCAGGAGGGCAAGAGGCCAAAAGAAATCAGCACATCTGAAATGTGTCAGATTTCCTGACTCTGACTCATTTTACCCTTAGGTACCATGGGACTTCTTACTGTCCCAGTATTTACCAGGTTATTTTTAGAGGCTTCCCAGGAATTATTTCCAATTTACACTTGCATAAATTGTCCTGCCCTTCCCATTACCTGCTTATCGACAAGACAGCCGCTATTAAGAACAAATGTAAAAAAATACTCAGACCTCATGTTTAAGTGCCAGGTCCAAGTCCACTAAGCTTCAATCTCCTTGTGCTCTACATTGGTTCAAGATCTGAAACAAGCTCAGTGCTGTGCTCTTTAAGAGGCAAATAAATGGTGAATCATGCTTGTAATTTAAGTTTTCTACTACAATGCGCTACAGTCATATTTTAAACACGATCCGGGGAAGGCTTCCAGGGTAGAGCGCAGGCTCACAAGGGGAGCTTGCCAGTAAATGTGAACATGGCACTTCAAGCCAAAAGCCTGTCTAGCCCCTAAATAAGAGCAATATATTATACTACCCGCTCTGACCAGGAATAAGGAAGGGAAATGTAATTCCTTGTCCTTTTGTGAGCTCAAACCTCACGCCCAACACAATAAACACACCCGACTCCCCTCCTCCAGACCCGAAATGGTTTCTCTGCTGCTAAACAGGAAGTTCACAACATGTCTGGGAACTCCCCCAAAACTGCAGGCTGCACCCCCTGCCCCACACAGCTTCAAAACCTTCCTGAAAACACACAAAGCCTGTTACCTCCTACTTGTGCCGCTGGTCAAACCCATCTCCGCCTGCTGCCGCTTCTCTTCCGCACTGCCCCGGCCGCAGCACAACCCAGGAAGTTTATTCCTGATGACAGTAATTTCCTTCCAGGTTATGGCAGCAGCCTCTTGCTGGCTCGGCTGCGCTATTTTCAGCCTCACACTCCAGATTCACATCTGGAATTGGTGTCCCTGGGCAGGCTGGCGTGGCCTGGTCACCCAGGCCCACAGCACCCAACACCCACCAGAGGCGATCTGTTTGTAGATTGTTTGTCACTGTGTTCGTACACATCACTCCTACACGTACTTTAAAGTCTATTTCCTAAAGGAAGATCTGGACATAATTAAACTGTCAGACACAGCACTGCCCGCCATTGGGGCCAAGTATGTAACAGAAAAGCTACTGCCAGAAAATGATTTCTGGCACCTGGGACACCATTAACCCATCGGATGAAACGCTGCTGGGGATCGACTTCCTCCAACAGCTCCAAACATGAGAACTGCAGGAATTGCCATGGTTCCTGTAAATTAATAAAATATGGACTGGATTTAGACCTTGAAAAGCCTAATCTCCTTAAGTTTCAAAGAATTCTCCCTCCCTCTTATTTCTTTTCTCCTTGGTGAGAAAGTCTAATATATAAACTATGAAAGCTTACCCTCTCAAACATGGAGAAACACACACAGCACTTAAACCCCCCCCATTTTTTCTTTTTTTTTTTAAGGGAACATCTTAATTTGGAGTGTTTGGGTACGGCACTAGCAAAGTAAACATTCAGCTTTTTAAAGGATTTATCCAGAAAGCAAGTAGTACACAAGTACGCAGACACTAAAGAATATTTCTTACGACATGAGGCTGCTCAGTTTGGTCATTACAGCTATCAAAATAAGCAGTTAAACCATTTGGCTTATTTCTAGTGTTTATGAGTAGAATAGCACACATATGAGTTTGGTAATCCCCACTACAGCAGGAGGTCGTACCAAAACAAACTTGCTTCACTCACTAGCCCAGCTTTACGCACATCCTTGAGATGCGGAATCCTTCCCTGTTTCAACATCACAAATGTTTTGTTTCTTCACTGAAGCACGAATTTGCCTGTTGTACTTGTGGGTACCACAATGACCATCCAATCTAAGCATCGTGTTTGGAGTGAAAAAAACTCGTTATCTAAGGTATGCACTACTACTGATCTAAAAACTTCAGGGCAGCTGAGTCAGTTCTTGCTTCTGAGAATATTTTTAAAAGGTACTGAATTAGCAAGCTAAGAAAGTTCAAGAGAATAAATGGGGTGTGATCTGGAGACATGAGACAAAGCTCAATACGTGAGCTGAAAGCCACACAGGGAGCTGCCTGCAGCACAGCACAAAACCAGTCCAAATCATCTCGACTAATAAAGCAGTGCTGCTACCAATGAAGAGTCAAGGCAGGAGCACAAGGAAATCCTGTCCCCCAGCTTTGAGCAGGGAGTTTTACCACAGTGGTAGTAGCTACATCATTCTGACACAGCAGAATTTGTTTCTTAGTGAGTACTGCCACCTTGTGAAACTCTGCTAAATCAGTTGGGTTTTCCAAGTGTCAAGTTTTCAGCCAGTTTATGCTCAATACTGTTTTATTGCTGACTAGTGGGAAACTACACAGCCTCCTAAAAACCATAATCGTACCCGCAGCACTTCAGAGCCTGCACACACTACTTACCACACAGCACTGACCAAGCCAACTGAACTGCTTTTCAGTGTTTCTTCGTTTGTGATAGTGGCATCACTTGGGTTGCAGACAGGGTAAGGATTTATGGCTACCTGGTAGCAATATAGGAAGCTAAGAAACACAGTAGCTGCCTGAAACTGTTTTCAAATCCCATTCTTCATGATCAAACCTTCAGGGTGAAACATGCTGTAAACCTTAGTATCTTCAACAATATGAACATGATCATGAATATCCTCAATTAAGAGAGGAATTGCTGGTGGCACAGGCGAGTGCACATGTCAACAGAAGCACATAAGGTGTGGGACAAGGGCACCTGATGAACACAACCAGCTGAGAAGCAGCTTAATATAAATCAGAAACGGTAGAACCGAACCCAGGCAGGGTTCAGAGAGCTCGCTGCCAGACCAAGCCGCGTGTCACAGCCGCACCGCAGCACGTACCTACACGCTCAGACTTCACCAAGAGCCAGAGCCACAGCCCCTTCGAGCCAGCTCTGGCACCTGCCAAAGCTCCTGCACGCGAAGGAAATGTGTTTCACAAACCTCCTCTGTTTAACAGGAACAGCATCACTGAGTGATCAGTTATTCAAGCTGTAACCAGGCCCCGCCCTTTCAACACATCTACATGATCCGAGCAGAAGCTGGTAACTCCAGTGCAAAAAAGCACAAGCTTCACTGCTGCAGTGCCTTTGAAAAAGGAGCTGGGGTACATCAGCATGCTTTGACAAAGCGTTGATTCATCCATCCACATTTAAACAGGATAAAACCCATGAAATGATATTCTTTATTTCCATTTTCCAAGTTTCAGTTAGAATACCAGCTTCAAAAATAAATGGATGAAGTAAGGTCATATAAACTCACAGCAAAATTGAATAGCAACCCATGGCAGCTACAGGGCCACAGGTGAAACTCTAGGAAATACCATCTTTACTGGAGTTAAATATTGCACCCCTTCTCTAACACAAGTTGAGAAGAGTAAGATACTTCACCTTCAGGCAGCATCTAAGATTACTGAAAGTACAGAAATAGACTAGAAAAACCCAAATTTCCTATTTCTAATGACATCAGTATAGCAAAATAGTAAGTTGAAAAATATTTACAAAGATATCTACATAACATGCCTAACAGTGCTCATATGATGCTCCAATGCACTGAAGTTACTAACACCACCATTTCCTTCTCAGTCAGTTGTCCTCTCCAAAGAGCTAAGCAGATCTCCCCTCAGTCCTCCTCCAATTAAGAGCCCTCTTGTTGGTCTTCAATCTTTGGAGCCAGGTAGTATTTTAAGTGTCCCATATCAGCAATCTTGTACTCCACAACTGGGAAAAAGAAAAAAAACAAGTGTTCAGAAGGTTCTTCAGAAAAAACGTTCAGTCCAGAGTTCTTAAAGCAGTTCTAAGGTAGCAGCATTCTACAAGTTTTTTCAAGTAGAGCTTCTCTACTTACCAAGAGGAACATCTGCAGACATGCTGAGTGTTACTGTAGGTGACAGGGGAGTGGCTTTCGTAAAGAAGTTCAAGTACCTCAGAGCAAAGGTCAATTGGACTGGCTCATTCATCTCTATTGTAACCTAGAAAAGCATCAGCCAGGTTAGACTTCAGTAAACGCAAGCTGCACCAAAGTTCCCTCAAATAATTCAGACATCTCAAGCAGAGGCAGTCAGCACTATTCCCCACTCTGTTCTGATGAGCACTGCTTGCAGGCCCCAGGCGTAAGGACCTAAAGTTTGCAATCATTTGTTGACTAATCTATAAACCAGAGAAATACATGATCCAATCACCCAGTTTTAGCCTCCAGGAGGCCAGAGAATTAGTCATTGGTAGAAACCTCAACACTGAAGACCCCACAGCAATTGTGAACACTTACAGCTTCCTCTTCTTTATCCACATTACTGGTCTGTGACAGCTTAACGTTTCCATTGCCCAGCTCTCCGTTAGCTGAAAATTTCACACCGTCTTTTGCACAGGAGATGACAACTGCATCGCCGATGTGGCTGAGATCTCTACAGATGCGTGCGAATTCAGCTGAGGGCATTTTCACTACACAACTATATTCTTGTTCCTGCGAAGGAAACATCACTGTTAAATTTCTCCCAAAAATCTTGGTGCAGTCACTACACTTGAGTTTGCCTAGTCTTTCCAGAGAAAGTTATGTTACAAGCTCGAACTCCCAAGTCTGATGTGAACACAGGCAAATACCCATTTCTAAGAGACAGTGTAGCCAGTCATACAAGCCACTACTTACTGGAATTCCAAGCTGCTCCACATCAAGATCCATTAGCTTCATCTCATAATCAGAAACCTTTTCCTGATCTAAAGAAACAAAGCATGGTTTGACCAAGTGTTTCTGAGAAGTTTTCACCCTGAATTTAATTTTTATCCCTTTCACACCTGACAAGTAAAACCACCTCAATTACATCAGTAAGATCCAACTGGTTTAATTAGAGCTAGAATCTGACAGTGACCCAAGCAGCCTTTTATAGGCTGTAAGAGGACAGCAACCTGCCAAGATTATCTATACGGGGCCTAAAGAAGAGTCTTTCTCTTACAGAGAAAGTATTGGTCACATTGACTAAGCTTACATCTCCAGATTATTTAAAGAGTTTGAGTATCAGGTGATCCTTCCCATTTCTGTTATTGTCATTTCCTTCCCGCTCTGCATCTACATGATTTATCAAGACTACTTAAAAACATCACTGTAGTAAATTAGTTCCCAAAACCAACACTCACTTGGTGCTTCAAACACTAGAGCCAATGTATCCGCATTATCTTCTGCTCGGAGAGTGATGATGTCTTCGTTCCCTGCACACTTCAGTATTTTGGACATGCTAAGTGGGAGGGAAATGTAGGTTACTCACAGGATTACCAGCGGACAGAACAGGAAAACGCGCCCGTTGCCTACTAGAGCCTGCAAAGAAAGCTAGCAAGAGGCAGGCAGCAGCCGGAACTGCGCAGGGGATAGAGCTGGGGCTCATTCCCCCCTCGCCACGGCCCCCTCGGCGGGCGGCAGAGCGGGTGCCGGGCCATGGCGGGCAGCGATCGCCTCCCCCCGCTCTCCTCTGCGCTTTCCCGCCACGGCGCCGGCAGTGACGTCACGGCCGCCGGCGGGCTCCTCGCGCGCGCGCGCTGCGAAAAACGGCGCGAGAGCTCTGAGGAGAATAGAGGGGGGCGGCGAGGGGGGGGGGGGGGAATGGCTGAGGAGGGCTCCGAGCGGCCCTGCCCGCCTCAGGAGCCGCTCCCCAGAGACGGCGAAGGCAAGTGCGGCCCCGCGCCCCGCAGCTGCCCCGCACAACTCTCCCTTCCGCAGCGCCTCAGGCCCCGGCCCGCTCCCCCGCCCGGAGAGGCCCCGGCCGCCGCCCCCCGCACCTGTTAAGGTTAACGCCCATGGCGATGTTTCGGTCGCAGCGGTAAGTGTCGAAGCCCTCGGAGCGCAGCGTGAGCTGCACCAGGGAGACGTGCGAGGAGTCCATGCTCTGCAGGCTGATGCCGCCCGAGCCCAGGTCCCAACAGGCCTCGGTGATAAGGTCCTTGAGAGCCTCCAGCACCCGCTTGAGCACCGAGCCCTGCACCAGTCGCGCCTCGAACATCCTGGCGGCAACGACAGCAGCGACCTCCAGCACTCAGAACCCAGCACACCCCTGGGTAGCCGTAGCCAGCTTCCCCCTTTTATACACTTCGCCGCCCCGCCCACCGCCGCACCACAGCCAGTCGCTAGCAGCCCTCCCCTCAGCGACACCCTATCCACGTTCCCATGACACGTTCCCTTAGCGCTCTGGCCAATCCCGGCGCCGCTCTTCCCCTTAAATCCTGCCCACATGGTCCGGCGGGAGCCAATCACCACGCGGGTTACAACAGCGAGGTGGGGGGTGCGAGCCCGCGTCCCGCCTCGTCGTGCGGTAATGGCGGCGCCGTCTGATCCCTGCAGCCCCTCCTCCACTCGCACGGCTTGCCCTCAGGGACGGCTCCAGACGCCAGTTCCTGACAGGAACTCCAGACCTGAGCGTGACAACAGGCGACTATCCTCCCTTTGATTCAAACCCGCCACGGTTCTCTCAGCGCCCGTGAACTTCCCGCGCGCGGGGCTTTCCCGCTCCCCCCCACCCTCCCCAACTACGCAGTCGCGCGCACCCATCATGGCGCCCGGCGGGCGCACATCCGGGTACACCTGGGCAGAGCCAGGGCCGGGCGAGCCCCGCCCCCCGCGCCCGTCCTCTGCCTTCGATTGGGCGGTGGCAGCGCTCAGTCCTCTCCCGCCCCCTGGCGGCCGCGGGGGGGACGGGGCGCAGCGGCGGAGCGGAGCGGCCGCAGGCCCGGAGCCGGGGCTGGGGCCGGTATGAGCGAGCTGCGGCACCGGCTCGGCCGGGAGCCCGGCGGGGAGCGGGACCCCGATGAGAAGGTGAGCTGCGGGCCGGGGAGCGGAGGGGTGGCTGGGACGAGGCGAGGAGGGGCGCGGGGCCCGCGGCGGGCTGGCTGCGCGGCCTGCAGAGCGCGGGGGTCCCTCCACCTCCTCTCGCCGGGGCCGCTGCTGCGACCCCCGTCCTGCCCCGTAATGTGCGCCTATGCCGCTGCTCCTGCAGCGCCCGTCGCTTGGGTTATTTGCCTCCTTCCCCCCCCCCCCCCCCCCCCCCGCCACAGCCCCAAAACCGGCCCCGAACGAGCAAAGTCCGACCGCGGGGGGAGTTTCAGGCCGTGGCTGAACAACCGGGCCCGGCTCCTGCCTTATGGGAGCGTGGAAATCTGAGCATAAACTGGTTTTGTGGGGCATCTCAAGTCGGGGTTACAAAACCCCGCAGGTTGCCTCAGGGAAGACTTTGGTATCTCCTAAGTCATCCCTAAGTATGTCCCCTTCCCCGCAGTGGGGTGTGTGTGGTCTCCAGCCATAGCTTCATGAGGTTTATCGGTTGCATTTCTCCAAAGAAGAGCCATGAAAAGAAAACCTGACTCTCTTTCCTCTAATGTCTCTTCTGTTCCGAACCCAAGCCTGGTTGGATGCTCCGAGCTTGGCAGTCGCCCCGTGCGTCGTGTTATCACCCTTGTCATTTTTACTCCTGTGCCTCCCCAAAGAGGAAAGGACCAAGAGGAATAAGCAGTCGAGAAAAACTTTGTAGATAGTATTTACAGGGACACAGAGAGCAAAAACTGGAGGGAAAAGTGGATCTTTGCTGCGTTGGTGTTTGATGTGCACATCTTGGGAGCAACCCTGTACTTGTCCATTTGCCCATAGTAGAGCATCATGTTGATGTTTCCTTTGTTAGTGTATGAAGTATGCGATTCAGAGAGGTGTGAAATCATCAGACAAAACTGTCTTGCAATTTAAATGTCATGTTTCATGCTGTTTCAGATGACAGTTTAACACCTGCTAGAAGCTGTACAGTCAGGTTTGAGGAAGCTTTATTGTTCTGATATGATTAGTGAGGGAGCTGGGACAGAAAGCACTGGCAGCGTTGAGAATGGGTTGCCTTGATGTAGATCTGAAGTTTCTGCCTTTTTTGTAGCTTACATGAAGCTGTCTCACATCCACATTTGCCGACCTCAATTAAGAGAGCAATAAGATAGCTCCTATTTTGTTGTTGTTGTGCACAGGACAAAGCTGTTACCCTCTAGATAAGTATGTTTGTCTTAGTTGAAATTTCCTTTGCAGCAGAAAATCTTCAGGGACTTTTATATTCCAGAACTTTTGTGCGAGTTGGAAGATGTCCCTCAGCAGCCTGGAAAGACGAGGACTGCTTAACTGGTATGCAAACAAATTCCCTCAGCCAAGCTGCAATCTTGCTTTAGCTACTTGTCATGTGTTCCTAAAGAAGGTCAGAGGGCCGCTATTTTGAGTGCAATCTTGTTATCTCCAGGCAACTATGCTTTTTACATATAATGAGCATTCTGAAGGGCTCCTCTAATATTACCTTTGAGTCAATGACTTGAAGTGTCTTTGCTAGAGAGAGGGAACTTTTATGTCATACTGCTCATCCTAAAGCAGCACAAATGAATTGCAAGAGAGAAAAAAAAGAGAAAAAGAACAGCTCCTCTGAGGTGCTGAATGTGACGTCTCTTAACAATATAAAGCAGTTACGGGAAGCAGAGAATTTCCCAAAACTGTTAAAATCAAGCCTGGTAGGCAGTTACCTGGTAACAGTAATCCTGCCATTAGTGAAACCCTACAGTGTCGTGCTTTCCATGGCAGCAGATCTCAGTGGCAGCTTTTTCTTTCCTCCCCTGAGATCAAGCCGTTGTGTTTTTAGTGCTCGGGAAATGCCTGGCAGAGCCTGGGAATAGCGTCAGTATAAAGCCAACGCAGCAAAATTGTTCCTGCGTGTCCTATTTATTGGTGGTCTTAGCCTACCCAGTGTGTTGCCTGCACGTATTGGTGCCAGGAGGGGAGATTCCTCTTTCTGCTTTATCATTCAGCTAGCCTTGCCAAGAAAAATAATTTAGCAATGCATATTGTATTCTACAGAAAACCTTGTGTCTTCTGAAAAGAGCTCTCAGGATATTAAAAGAAACGAGTTAAAATGAGATGCAAACATCAGGGCTGGTTTTAAGATTAGGGCCGGAAAGTTGTATTTTGTACTTGTTTCCACTTTGCTGTTTTGATAGTGAAAAGAGAGAGGCTGGTTTCACTTTCTGGTCCTCTAACCCTTGCACAATGTAGTGGCTTTGATGTTTTCCTCCCTGCTGGCACAGGGCAATGCTTATAGTTGAAACTGTGCTGCTTCAGTTGAGACTGTAGTGCCAGAACATTTTAAAATCAATTTGTTTTAAAACTTGTGCAACACACAATCTTTGTCTCAAAGGGAACAAGGCAACATCTGTTTACTCTGATCCGTGAACTCCCTCTGATCTCTCCAGTGAAAACACAGGGAAACTTGCCCTGATGTTATTTGTGCTTGGTACCCATTTTCTTAGCCCACAGGGCTTAGGTGTTGTTAACTGTTGCTCTTAGTGTGTAGATATCTGAGATGAGATGATTGAAACAAGCTCTAATTTCTTGTTACCTTACAGATCCCCTTCTCCCTTGGTCTTTGTAGATTCATTCCTTTGCTTTGTGGACTAATTCGTTATCTAAAATCAGAGGTCAATGCCTTCTCTCCTGCGTTGTGTGCATCCCGTTAAATAACATTTTCTCTTTCAGCTTCCAAAGAGAACAGAAAAAGTACAAAAGAAAATTGTTTCACGATACATGCAGAGCACCTGAACAGTGCTGCTAGTTTAATGGGCTCTTAATCTTGTTTCTCAGTAGTGGTTTGTACTTTGTGTGGCTTGGCAGTGAGGACAGAGGGTTTTTCCTCTTCCATCCCTCTTTTGCTGGGACGTTGCACTGGTAGTTGTCTGAAACTGGGGGGGCTCTCAGACATCCCATGGCCTAGTCCCACGAAGGGGAGGAAGGCAGGTCTATTTAGAGGCAGGCTTATCTGGGCTGCAGATCACACCCCTGCATCACTTGTGGCTTTGTTTACCAACCCCTCTGTCACTGGCAGTCAGTTTCTTGCTGGCAAATATTGTCCCTTTTAGGGGAGCAAATGGAAGCGGGCCCGGCAGCCGCTGTGCTGGCAGGCGTTGCTGTGCAGTGGCCCATGGAGGTGGGTTTTCCACCGTGCAGCGTTTGGCACCTTGTTGCACCCGCAGCAGCTGGGCACACTCACCCCTTATGGGAAAAGGGGTGACGGTGATGGCAAGAACCTTGCTTTGCTGATACGAGGCCTTGAAGAGCCAGCATGAAGTGTGCAAGGGTGAGGTGTTTCTGTACCTAAGAAGGGTTCAATGATGAAGACTCTTGCTCTTTCCAACCTGGTTTTGCAGTGAGTGACAATGTGACTTTTTATCTGGCTACATCTGTATTGCGTGGTACAAAAAGTGAAAGACTTTGACTTCCAAGCCTCATGATTCCTTGTGCTTCCCGGCAGTTTGCAAGACTTCCCTAGTGATCTAAAGTGCTTTGAAGATGCTGAGCCAAGTAAATATTGGGTGTTTGAATGCTGGTGCTCCCTTAGGTCTGCCTGGGAGGATGAAGGGTAGATGTGAATGGCTGCCTGGGCCGTGCTGGAAAGGGTGCAGCAGCTCCAATTCTGGTGTTCGGCTTGGGAGGGGATGCAGGATGTAGAGGAATAACAGTGCAGGTGTTCTGAAGGTTCAGGCAGTTTCAAATCCTGCTACTTCTCAGGTCACAGGAAAGCTCCCAGTAGTTGGGAGTTATTGGTAATGAGGTGAGGTTCTTCTAGGACCAAAACCAATAAACCACTGCAGTAACACCTCTCTTCATCCAAGTCCACTTCTAGACCCACCTCAAAGGCTTATTTTTTAAATAGCTCTTAATATTATTTCAGGTTTGATACCAAGCATCAGTTTGCTTGGCTTCTGCAGAAGCATGAACCTTCTTTATTCTTGATGAATGCTAGCAATCTCAGGTCTGATGCGAGAATACATTTCAGCCTTCCTTGCTGTTTGATGCTCAGCTTTGTGTGTGCCCACCAACAGGAGTGCATTTTTATCTGTTGCTGTTAATTGTGGCAATGAGAAAGTGGATTGATTGCATTTCTAATGGAACTCATTATAACCAGCTGTCAAATTTAATACCTTTGCCAGCTTCTGGCCTGCACTGGAGCTGACGAAAGAGCTGCAGGCTGCTCAGCCTTTCCTTTGGATGGTCTTTGACTTGACCACTACTTTTTTTTGCAAAATACACAGCCTCTCCATTGCACTGCCCGTTTCTTTGCTCATTTGTAGTGACGGCAGAGTCTGATCCCAGGAAGATTTTGTCATTTTAAGGGTTGGATGTCTCCACCTTGGGCTGTGAGGAGGTCCTTTCCTTCCTGGTCTGCATGGAGCTGTGTGCAGCACTCGTGTGTGATAGAGCCAGCACGGAGACTCTCAGCGCTCAGGTTAACCCCCCCAAGTGCACATTGCTTTTCTGTTACTCAGCCCTTTGGATAGGTCAAAGCTAGCTTCTGTTTCCTATCTTTATTTAATGACTGTCTGGTCTGGAGAGCTACACAAGAGACTGTCTCTCTTGGCAGTATCTGAAAGTTGCTGTTACTTCCAGGCAGATGGCTGACCTGTTTTCTGAAGTGTTCCCACTGGGTTTTAGTGGATCAGGGAGCTTCTTACCGAGTTCCCTCTTGCTGCTCCAGCGGTCTGTCCTTGCTCCTGATCACATCTTGTTACTGTTTAAGATAAGGTCAGTGGAGCGCAGGGTGATGGAGGGAGGCCGTGGCTCCTGATGGATATTCATGCTGTCTTTGACCCCACCGGTCTCAGGTGGAAGTCAGGGCTCTTGCTCAGTGCTCAAATGAGCTGTTTTGTATGTGAACAGTGTCTCTGCTCGCACTTCCGAAGCCGTGTGCTTACAATAATATGTTGGGGCTGATTCTTGTGAGTGGAGGGATGTTTGGTGCTGAGAAGAGG